CGCCGAGCTGGCCCAGGTCACAGCGGGCTCTTTGGCTCAACGGTCCACAGGAGGGAAGGAAAGTGAGGAGGTGGACAACGCAGTGCCCAAGAGCCCAGTGGGGCTGGGCAGGTGCACGGCCATTTTGCAGATGAGGGAACTGACCCCAAGGGTCAGAACAGAGGCCGAGGGCGGGGCAGAGACAAAGCCCCCACCCTGCTGCCCAGTGCTGGCCTAGGCTTGGCGCCCACGGCCCAGCAGAGGCAGGGAGCCGCAGCGAAGGCCGGCACAGCCTCCGCCCTCAGGGCTCATGGAGGCCCCGCACGGCCACCGCACCCCATCCCAGGCGGCAGCTGTTCCCCGCAGGGCCTGTGCGGCCGGTGGGGATGCTGCACTGGACCCTGGCGGCCGCGGGCAGAGGCTCTGACGCAGGACCACGGTCTGGCCAGCGCGACGCCTCCCGGGGCTGGAGGGGGCCCTAGAGCCCGTGTCCCGGGGGCCAGCGGGGCCCACGTGTCCCAGCCCCAGGCGGCTCCTGTGCTTGTGCTTTTCCTTTCGATGTTTTTTATTTTTTGACTATTTACTTTGAAATAACTTTAGTCAACTCCAAGGCTGCAGACGCAGCTCAGCGAAGGGTCAAGTCTGGGAGCCCGCGGATGTCCACCCCAGCCGGGGCGCCAGGACCCACCGGCACCGCCTCCCTTCCCGCCCCTCCCCCCCGCCACGCCCTGGGGATCGTGTCCACGCGGCCCTGGAGCAGTGAGCGCCCAGCGGTGTCCACTGCGCTAAGACCGCTCCTCACTGGCCCTGGAGCAAAAGCAGATTTTTGCTGGATTCGGCTCCCGTTTGCCTTCCGTGCGCGCCTCGGAGGAGCGGAGTCCCGCGCGCCCTCCCGCCTTGGCCCGGCGCCGCCCGCGCCCACGCGCTGCCCGCTGGGGGTGGCCGGGCCGCTGGGGGTGGCCGGCGGTCGGCGCTCCGCGTGTCCCGGTGACACCGGCGGGAGCCGAGGGCCCGGATGGGCTCGCTCCTGAGGGCGCCCCGCGCGGCCTGTCCGCTCGCCCCCCCGCGCCAGAGGCCCCGCGCCAGTCGCTGCTTGCCCGCTGGAAGACAGCCACCCAGGTGCGAGGGGCCCTCCCTGCGGTTTGGGCCGGTTTCCCTGCGCATAGGCGCTGACGCGCCCCTTCTCGCGTGCCCCGTGGCCATCTGCGGCGGCTTGGACAAGTGTCTATTTCGCTCTTCTGCCCGTTTTTTAATTAGCTTGTTTGTTTTTTTATTGGTGGGTTGTATAAGTTCTTTGTGTGCTTTGCGGATCAGCCCTCCGGCGCCTGGCGAGCAAGGACTCGGCCAGAGGGCCTGCCCCCCAGCAGCTCCGCTCCCGCCTCCCACTCCCCGGCCTGCCCGGCCCCCCCCCCCCCCCGGCCCCCGGCCTCCCGAGCGCTGCGGTCAGGCCTGCTCCGAGCCGGCTCCACACGCGCGCCCGCTCTCTGGGCACCAGACCGAGCCACGTGGCACTGCCTTACGCTCACCATCGGGCGCTGCTGGGGTCCGGGGCTGCCTGACAGCAGCACATCTGCAGCGGTCGTCCCCGGCGGGGCCGAGCCCTCCCTGCCTCCCGGAGCCAGCCCCAGTGCCAGGGACCTGGGCCAGACCCAGCAAGACTGGCCGGGGCCCAGGAGGGGCTGGGGCTGGGCCCTGCCGGTGAGCCCTGACCCTACCGCCCTGCCCTCCAGGCCTGTCACAGCCCTGCTGGCGGCGGGTGGCCCTGAGCAGCCTGCCTCCAGGTGCCCCCGCCCCCTCCAGCTGGGCCCTGGGCGCCCCGCCCTTCCTCGCAGGCCTGGCATGGAGGGAGCAGAGCAGGCCCGTTGTTCGGGGGGCTTGGCGGGCCCCACCGGCTGGCCCTGCCGGCGGTTAGCAGCAGTCGCTTCAGTTAGGGCACCGGGGGCAGCCCCTCGCGTCCCCACGGCGGGCGGTGAGCCCACACGTCCAGGGAGCACCAACGGGCTTTTTAGAGGAAAGCGGAGAAACACAGACGATGAAAGGCCCGTCGGGGACGTGGGAGGCCGACGCATGATCGGAAGGCGATGATCGCCCGCCTCCCTGGGGCGGGTGGCGAGCTCTGTGGAGCCCTGGAGACAGCTGGGAACCGTCCGGGTCGCCGCGCCCCACTCCCAGCAGAGCGGCCCCTCCAGAGTCGCGGCGAGAAACTGAGTCGCAGATGGCCAGAGGCGGTGGGGCCGCGTGGACAGGGCCGCGGGCGCCCAGGAGCTCCACAGACCCCTGCGGCCGCTGAGCCGCCCTCCGGGCCCAGCGCCAGGCTCTGACCCCTCTTGGCTCTGGGACGCAGCCCGGCCCACCCTGCCGCCTGCGCTGGGCACGGGGCCGCCGGGCCGCCTGGGAGGGAGCTCGGCACAGACCCCTGGGAGCAGGCGCAGGTGGGAACCCTGGGCCACTCGGCCAGGCAGGATGCCCAGAACCCCGGCCGGGGCTTGGTCTGCAGCCTGGCCGGTCACTGCCCGCAGCCAGGGCACGGGCCCTGGGGCCGTGCCGAGCTGGAGCTTCGCGGGCACAGGGCTGGGCTGGGAGCAAGGAGGTGCCGGGCGGCTCGGGGCTGGGCCGGCCTTCCCTCTGCTCAGGGCCTGCACCTGCTCTGTGGCCTCTGCAGCTGACGGGCCCAGGGCCAGCGCCTTCCTGGACGCGGCGCAGGCCACGAGCCTGGTTCTCCTCCGGCCTGGTGTCCGGGTAGGGGCGTGCTGGCCGCCCTGAGCAGGGGCAGGTGGACAGGGTGGCCCTGGCTCCTCCGTGGGCCCTGGTGAGGTCTGGCCCGGGGCAGGCGGGGAGCCCCCTCGCTAGCAGCGCCAGGGAGGGGTGCGGGCGCCAGCTCCGGCCCAGCATTCCTTGGCCTCTCGCGCCACCTTCTGGCGTCCCCTGGAACTACACCGCCGTGGCCAGCGGGCAGCCGGGGCCGCCTGGGTGGGGGGAAGCCTGGGCCACCCCTCGGTGCAGGGAAGGCCCAACCCAGCAGTCGCCCCCAAACATGCACACACGACCCCAAACTCCCTACCCGTGGCCCCACGGGCAGGACGGGGGCTGGAAGAGCTTTCTCGACCGCAGGGACCAGCAGGCCCGGGCCGGGAGCGAGGGGCAGGGCTCGTGGGACCTCCAGCCTCTCTGAGGACCCAGATCGCCCCAGGACAAGGGCCTCGGGCAGCGGGCGGGGGAGGGGGTACATGCCCAGGCCTCCCTGGCTCTGCCGCCCAGCGCAGGGCCCATCTGGGGGAGCTGGCCGAGACCGTGTCCCTGCTGGGGGCTCTGCAGGGGCCAGGTGAGCTGGGAAGGGTCTTCTGGCCCAAGCCGCGGACTCAGGCCTGTCCTGCTGCCTCAGTTGCCCTGGGAGGCTCCTGGGGGTGTCACCGTGGCCTGACCGGCGGACATGCCCTGGGGTCATGGCCGAGAACCATTCCAAGCCTCTGGGCGCCCCAAGTGGCATGGTTCGGGCCCAGCCCTTGGAGTCAGCCCCTGGCACTCAGGGACCCGCGCCAACCGGGGGACGGGCCTGGGGGTGCCTCCTCCCCCCGCAGTCCTGACCCTGGACAGCAGCGCCCAGGTCGTCGGCCAGGCGGGGCAGGTGGGCTCAACGGCCCGCACCACCCAGGGGCTGTGGCTGCCTCAGCCGGGCTGGACAGGCAGGCGCCCCCCACGCGGCGCAGCACCCGGGGCCAAGGGTGCTGGTTGCTGCCCCTGGGGGTGCGCTGTGGGGCGTCCTCTCTGGGGTCCTCTGGCCCCAGGTGCCATGACCAGCCCCCAGGGCAGGCGAGCGGCTGCTTCTCTTCCCAGTGATGTTTTAATCTTGCTCTTTATTATCATTAAATCCTGCTGTTCATCTCCACCTGGCGGCTTCCCCGCGGCCTCCTGGCCCCTCGCGCCGGGCCTGCCCTGCCCTCCATTTCCAAGCTGCCCAACGTGGACGCCCGGGGACTCCAGGCCTCCCTGCTCTCCCGTCCCTCCAGGCCCCCCGTAACTGTACGTCCCAAATTTTCACAGCAACTCGGTGGCCGGCAGACGGCGACTCCTGGGCTCTCGTCCACCCTCGAGCCGCAGCTGCTTAGCGTCCCGGCCCCCCACGGCCAGTGCCACGCCTCGGTCCTGTCGGCGGCCGTGCGGGGGCACCTGGGCCGTCCTCGCCGCTGGGCCTGCATTTCGGCCACGGTGCCCCCTCGGCGCTCGGCTCGTGCTGCGTCCCCTCCCGGCCTGAGGCTCGGCTTCCCGGCCCGCGCCTTCACCCGCTCGCGGGCTCCCCGTCTCCTCGCTCGGCTCCCACCGCGGACCCCACCCGCCCGCCCACAGCCCCCTCCGCTGTCCCTCCACCCGCATCCGTCTCCCCGCGGCCGGACGCCCCGCGGCACCCTCAGCCTGTCCGCCCATCTCTGGATCGACCCGCTCGGGCAGGTGGGGAGGCTCCGTCTCGGGGGGAAGCCACGGCCCGGCCCGGCCTCCTCTGGGTGACACGGACGACCGAGTCCACCCACGACACCGTGGTGCTTCTGAGGCGCTGCCCCAAGCAGAAAGGGTCCCTGCTGGTCAGCGGGGGGGCCTTGCTGGTCATCGACGGTCAGCGGCTGGGTGGCCCATGGCCAGGGGGCGGGGGCGGCTGACTACAGGAGGGCAACGCCGACCCAGACGCCTGGGTGGGTTTAGGGCCCCGCTGCCTGGAGCCCCAGGGGGACAGGACTCCAGGACCTACCCCTGGTGGGTAGGGGCCCCATGCCTGGCCCCCGGCACTGCCCAGCCTCACGTAAGTGGCGGGTGCCAAGGAGCCACGGGTGCCGGGAAGGAGCCCGCAGGTGCCAGCTCACTGCCTGGTGACCGGGAGGGGTGGCACCCCACGCCAGCTGCTCACCAGGCAGTGGCTGCAGACCCGCCGGCGGCCCCCAGGCCGGGGCAGAAGAGGCTCTGGCAAGTGGGTCGGGGCCGGCAGCCGCAGCCCGGGGAGGGCAGTGAGGCCACCCAGGGGCCCGGGCAGAGGGCACCGGTGGGCACCGTGGACCGGACGCTTCCACACCGATCTCCAGGAAACCAGACGAGAGGGCGCTCTGCAGCGACAAGACGAAACTCAAGTGGATTTTGACGTGGAAATTAAACTTTGAAATACAATAAAAAAGCCAAGTTGGGGCTGCAGCCCCTTCCTGATCAGGAACCTGGGGGGAGAGACCGGAGGCCGGGGCGGCCTAGGTGGTGAGCTTGGAGTAGCTGGGTGGGGACAGCTTGCGCTTCAAGTGCTTGAGGATGTAGAGGGGGAGGCAGCTGACCACGGTGATGGCCGACACCTTCCACAGGAAGGGCGTGGTGGTGATGAAGGCGACGTCTGCGAAGGAAGCACAGAGACAGGATCAGAGGCGGGGACCCCAGCCTCGTGGGGTCCCCGCAGACCCAGCCAGGCTCCAGGCCACGGGCCCTCCTGGCCATGTGGGCCGTCACTGCGGGGCGGGCGGCTCTCAGCAGGCCCGTGCCGGGGGCCGAGCGGCTGGCCGGACCCTGCGGTGGTGCCTCGTCCGAGGGTGGCGGTGCAGACAAGCTCGGGCTCCCGTCTCGGCACGTCCAGGCCGCGCACGGCCGCCGTGGGCACACGGTCTCCTGGGAAGGGGCGTGGCGGCTGGACCGGGCGGCTGGACCTGGGTAGAAGGCAGGCCCGGGAGGCTGTGGGGGTAGCCAGAGCAACCCCGCTGCTCCGCAAGCGCCAAGACAGTCGCGGTCTCGGTTCTGGGGGTGATCGCGAGGAGCTGCCTCTCCGCGGAAGCTGGCGTTGGGCCGCGGGGCTTCCCGAGTGGCCCCAGGGAGCACGCGGTGGAGGGAGGTGTCAGCAGCGAGGTCGGGCATCCCGGGGCACTCACCGAAGTACTCGTTCAGAAAGGCAAGCGAGGCCACGTAGCAGCCCAGGCTGAGGCCCTCGGCCACCACCATCAGCCAGTGCCAGGTCCTGACGGTCAGCGCCACCATCAGCAGCTCCGTGAGCACCAGCGCGGTGAACGAGATGGCCACCACGTGCACGAACTCGGCCTCGAACAGCAGCAGCGCCCCGCACATGAGAATGCCGCCTGCGGCACAGCGGGGAGCGGCTCGCGATGGCGCAGGGGACGCGGGGACCCCGCACCTCGCAGGCAGGAACCCCTGCTTCCCTCGCCGACGGACGCCCCGGGCTGCGAAGGACCAGGAGACCCAGCACGCGGACACCAGGGAGCCGGCGCCCGGCCCGCGGCCCCACCCTTGCTCAGGAGGATGTGCTGTGGGGCGCCAGGACGGGCACTCCCCAGACGGCCTGGAGCAACGCCAGTGGCCAGGGCCTGTGCCGGGGGCAGCCGCAGGGCCGGGGGTGCAGGCCGTGAGGGGGGGTCAGCGGGGGATGCCACCACCAGCGGCTCCTCACCTTGGTAGATGCTGATCAGGACCCAGATGAGGAAGGTCTTAAAGGACAAGGACCTCCCCTGTGGGTGGAGGAAGGAGAGCTCAGCCGGCGGAGGACAGCGCAGGCTGGTGGCCCCCAAGACCCAGCCTCAGGCCTGTGCTGCCTGCGGCCCAGGGGCAGCCCTGGCTCCAGGCCAGCTCCTCCCACGGCCCAGGGTCCGGGCAGGCTGCAGGCCTCAGGCCTTCTGGGGGGGGGGGGGTCCCTTCCCTTCACTCCCGTTTCTCCGGAACAGATGATCCAGGCGATGGCCCTCTGGGGTCTCCCGACAGGAGGGGCCCCGAGCGGAGGCAGGGCCTGGGCTGCGTGGACAAAGCTCCCGACACGGCTAACCGGAGGGCCCTGGGCAGTGAGCCTCCGCCTGGGCCCTGGCCTGGCTTCCCGCCGGGTCACAGGGGAAGGACTGGCCAGACCCTCCGGTGCTGGAGGACGCCGGCTGGCCGCAGGGTCCACTGCGTAGGAGCCCGGGTAGGAGGGTGCGGGCGACCCAGGCCCCTGAGCTCGGGACACCAGCATCTCTAGAGGCGCCGGCCGCCAGGGGAAGAGGACCCCCAGCAGGGGTGCTGGCGCGTACCTGCCCGGGGCCAGCGGCCGGCATGCCACCTGCGGCCCCCCACCCGGGGCGTGCGCTCGGCACTGTGGCCGAGACCGCCTCACAGGCTGTGTCCGCGGATTCGTGCTCAGGACGGGGGGCGGGTGGCGCCTGGCACTGCCCATGGCGCAGCCTGTGGGGCCCCGGCCGGCCGAGCGCTACCGACGCGGGGACTCAGGGTGACCCGTCCAATGCAGGCTGGCGGGGGCGGCAGGGCCGCATGGACGTGATCGCCCGTGGCCCTCGGGGCTGAGCGGCTGTGTCCGCGGCTACCAGAGCGCGGTCAGCAGTGCAGATGCCCACTGCCTGCCACAGTCTCCAGCCTCATGGAGAGGAGGTGGGGGCGCCGGGCACCCCCATTCATAAAGGGCGAGGCGTGTCGGACTAAGCGGCGCTACTTGGGACATGCGAGCCAGCCGTGGACGCAGGACAGGAGCCACTGTGAACAGGCCCGACAGACCTGCTGCCCACGGCCACCCTGCCGGCCGGGGCGGGGGCGGGGCCCTGAAGCCTCTGGGGCGGGCGGGGCGGGCGGGCCAGGAGGAACCGCAGCCAGAGCTGTCCTGGAGGGCAGTGCGCGGGGGCTGCCCAGCGCCCCACGCACCTTGGTGAGGTCCTTGTAGAGCTCGGGGTACAGCATGGCCATCTCGGGCTTCACGTCCTGGTCCAGCACCAGGGAGAAGACTGGGAACATGGTGTAGAGGGTCGCGTAGCTGCCGGGAGAGGACAGGCAGGTCAGCCGGCAACCCGGGAGGGCAGTGGCTCGAGGTTCCAAAGCTGACGGAGCGAACACAGGCGCCAATGGTCCCCAAGAGCAGGCCCGGCCGGCAGGCGGCGGCTCCAGCACACCGTGGCCCGTTTCTCAGACACAGCGGGGACAGCAGACTCCCTGTGCAGCGGGACCTGACACAGGGCCCTGGGCTCCGGGCCCCCAGTGGGAGCCGCTGGCCAGAGCGCAGCCCATCTCACCGCTGCCAGCCGCTCTGACCCAGGCCCAGCTGAGGCGCCCGCCTCCAGCCCATCACAGAGCCCCCCGCCTGGGGGACCTGGTGAGGACGCGAGGCCTCGGGCAGGACACCTCGTCCTCCTTCCGGGCCAGGCCCAGCCCCATGCTGGGCCCCTGCTCCCCACGCAGCCCACTGTGGCCCCTGGGCACCCCAGAACCCCTCAGCCGGGCTGAGGACCAGGGAGACCTGGGTCTGTCCCGGCCCCACTGTGACGGCAGGTGCCCAGCTGGCCAGAGCGGCTCCTGGGAGGTCTGGGGCTGAATACCTGCTGCCCGGAAGCTGGGGTGGTGGGCGGCGCCCCCCACGCGCCTACCCTGTCCCCACCACACTGCGCCACAGGGCCCCTTGAGACTCCGGGGGCAACAGCTCCTGAGGTGACCTGGCCATGGCTTCCCACAGCCCTGTGTGTGCACACGGGAGGCGCGGGTGCCACAGCCCCACCTGCCACAGGCTCTGCTGGGAGGGCGCGGGTCAGCGGGCGGGTTGCGGTCAAGGTGGGTGCCAGCCCCTGCCACCCGCCCAGCACCGCGAGCCCACCGGGAGCACCTACCCGACCATGAGGAAGCCCTGGTACAGCGGCACAGACGCGAAGTAGAAGACAGACGAGAACACGGCCTGGGCGGAGAGGCAGGTCAGAGCCCCGGCCCGCCGCGCCCCGCCGCGCCCCCCGCCCCGCCCCGCCCACCTGCATGGTGGAGATGATCAGGCCCCGGTGCATGACGAACTGGCCGAGCGCGGCTGAGCGCTTGTAGCTGCTGCGCCCGTGCACCATGAGCAGCCGGCCGATGTGCCGGAACTGGGTGATGGAGAAGTCGGCTGCCAGGGAGGCCTGCTTCCCCTCCTGCGGCGGAGAGCGGCTGTCAGACCCGGCCGGCTGGCCCGCCTGCGTGCCCAGTGCGGGGAGGGCGCCGACGGGCCGGTGCGGGCGGCGGGCGGCGGGCGGGTGGGTCGCGGACGCGGACGCCCACCTTGCCCTCGATGCCGATGCCACAGTCGGCGGCCTGGATCATGCTCACGTCGTTGCCCCCGTCACCTGGGGGCACAGAAGAGCGGATAGAGGGGCAGGTCTGCAGGGGTGACCAGCCGCCCCTGACCGCCAGCGCTGGGACGCGGGCTTGGGGGGCCTCACCGATGGCGCACGTGCGCTTCTGCGTGTGCTGCTGCAGCAGCTTGGCGATGTGGGCCTTCTGCGTGGGCGAGCAGCGGCAGCACACCACGGCCGGGCACTGGCAGGCCAGCTCCACGAACTCGTGCTCATAGTAGCGCAGGCACACCTGGGGGCGCGGGAGGGCGGGCGGGGCGCGGCTCAGCCTGGGAGGCCAGGCCGCCGGGTGCCCCAGGGCTCACGACCTGTTAGAGCCTTTTGGCCTCTTCCCAGCCATGGAGCCCCTCCTGGGGGGCTGTCTAGGGGTGCAGAGCAGGTGGGGCGGGCGCCAGCCTGCGGCTGCGCGGCACACAACTGGCCACATGCAGTGCTGGGGGGGCCAGGCACGCACACGCGGAAACCACTCAGGCTGGGAGCCGCCGGGGGTGGGGGCTGGGGTCCATCTGCAGGGGGGCTGGGAGCCAGTGGGCGCTCAGGGGAGGGCCAGTCTTCTCCCTCAGGGCCACCAGCCGCCCGGGGCTGTGAAAAGCGCTCAGCAGCCTCCCGGCACTGCTCCTGTGGGAGACCGGGAGCCCGAGGCTGTCGGGGCGGGCGGTGGGCCCCCTCGCCGTGCAGACGGACGGACCAGGCTGCTGGCACCTTCCTTGCAGCTGGGCGCACCCACGCCATGCGCGCCCAGAGGCCGCCAGAGCGCCAGAGGGGGGCAGAGGCCGCTCGGCCATCCCCAGCCTCGCCCGCTGCCCCCGCACTGTGGCTGTGCTCAGGGCCGCTTGGCAGGAGTGCGCCCGGCCTAGGAAGGAGGCCTGGCCTGCAAGGTCAGCACCAGGAGACCCAGCAGGACCCCAGCAAGTGGCGCTCCCATGAGGTCCGGCCAAGGCCCTGCTGCAGGCGTCAGATTCGCCGCTTGGCCACAGAGTCGCTGGGGTCCAGCTGCGCCCGGTGCTCCTGACAACGCGGTGACAGGGCAGACGCCCCGCCTGACCTCTGCCAGGTGCCGGCCCCGCGTCCCCAGTGGGAAGGACAGCCCCTTCGTGACGGACAAGAGGACAGCGCGGGGACGTGGGGGTAGCACCCGCGCGTGTGAGGAGCGCCCAGCCCCCGGCGAGCCCCCACGAGCCTCACCTCCAGCGAGTCTCCAGAGACGACCAGGGCACAGTCGTGCCGCCTGCGGAAGGCATTCAGCTCCAGGTGGGCCTCGGCCCGGCTGGCCACCTGGGGGTGGGACGGTGGGAAGCAGCTGCCCTGGGGTCCCTATAGCCCAGGCACACGGGCAGGTGCCTGGGGCGGCGAGTAGATTCGGGGAACTGCCCTGAAGGCTCCTGCCCGCCAAGCCGGGAGCCAACAGGAGCAGCAGGCGGGCACCCCTTGGTGCGAGCTGCTGTGGGGCGGGGCTAAGGACAAGTTGAGGGGGCAGGTGTGCCCCATGCTTCCCTGCAGTGCTCGTCTCCAGGGCGGTGGGAGACCAGAGCCTGCGTCCCTGCCCGTCTCCACTCACCCCATTGGCTCAAGCCATGTGACCCGGACGGGCGGGGCCACGTCCTACCCTAACGGGGTTCCCAGGAAAAGGGGAGGTTCCGGGTTCCCTGCCCCACCCACGGGAGGGTGGAGCTGAGCAGGGAGAAGGGGAGAGGAGCCTGGAGCCCCGAGGGGCAGAGACGTGTGAAGAGGCTGCGCTGGCTTCTTGGTCCTGAACGGGCCGGAAAAGACATGGGGGCGCCCCGCGGGGAGGGGACAGCGGCGGCTTTTATCTTTTGATTTTGTTCTTTTCCTCCCGGACTTGTCGGGCTGTTTTTGACCCTGTCCCGTGGGTCCCTGCGGGGGGGGGGGGGGGGGGGGCTTTGGACTGTGGCAGCCTTCGGGCCTTGCTCCAGGCTGACCCTGTTGGGCTGGACTTTCACCCACGAGGGGACGGGTGACTCCGGGTGCTTGACTGGAAACCCCAGTCTCTGCCTTCTCTGTGTCGCACACTGATTGTGCTCAGGTTCCTTTTCATTCAAGGTCTGCATGTTTGTCTCGATGCAGCAGATGGCAGAACCTACACAGAGGGGCAGGTTTGGGGGTCCTGGGGTGCCCCTCTCCCCGCCCTGTGACGGCGCCTTGGAAGAGCACTGTTTCTAGAGCGAAGTCATTTCAGACGCCAGCGCTCCGGCTTGGATGTTCTTTCTGAGGTTTCGTGGGGCATGAAAGAAATGACCTGTCACGGGACTGAAACAATCAAAAGCTCATGTGGTCCAATTAACCTCGACGGTCGACGCACAGGGGGGTTTTCTCGCGCACATTTCAACTTGTGGCCCCCTAATGCTGGAGAGTCAACAAAGATTGCCCTCGAGTTTTATCAGAATCATTAATAATTTAAACGTAAATAGTCGCCCCTGGGCCTACTTTGCGATTCTGATGGTTCAAAACAAAGGACGTTTACGTGTGAATCATATCCCAGTAGCTCTCCCGGGGGTGCAGCCCCCACCAGCCAGCCGGCAGACGCCCCGGGCCGTTCCCTTTCACCGGGATTACGTGTGGCCACAACTAACACGGACGGCAAACACATCAACTCAGATCGCTTCTCTTAATTTTCCTTGAGCTCATTAAGGAAGAATATTCCATCCGAAAACGGTTAGTTGATTAAAAACTCTCCGCTGACCCTGACCCTGCATTCGGAGCTTGTTTTTCAAAAGGAGCATCTGGGGCCCATTCGTTATGTGACAACAAAAACGTGACTTTTATCAATATGCACTTTCACAAATGGGACAGGAAATGACTGCGGTCGATTTAAAATACCTATTGAGCTGCTGATAAATAATTGCTGTTAGGACAAAAACGCGTCCAAATTCAGGGCTTTCCTTCAACGCCGCGATGCAGACCTGGCTTCCCGGTCACCCCGCGCCCGTGTGGCCAACGGGCAGAGAAGGCCGCATGGCTCTCTGGAGGCAGGTGCTTCCTCCTGCCCGTCACTGCGCGTGCGCGCTGGGAGAACCGGGGTCTGGGCACCCGGCCACGAGGGTCCAGCTCACCGGCCTGAAGACGTGGATGTCCTGCGTCCTGGACACCAGGTGGGAGCTCTTGGCGATGCAGGTGGCCGTCTCCAGCTTGTCCCCGGTCAGCATCCATATCTGGGGGCCGTTTGAGCCAGTGAGCGTCTCCCTGCACCAGGGTCGGTCACCGTCCACGCCGCGACCCTCGCAACCGCCAACACAGATGCCCCACAGCCCCGGGTCGCCCCTCTCCAGCTGCGAGCAGCCCCAGAGCATGGACCCATGGCTCCCCGGCCCAAGGCGGGTGGGTGGTGCTGCAGAGACACCAGGTGCCCTCCCGGGAGGCAGAGCCGCAGGGGGGCCCTGCTGTGAGCGCCTGTATTCGGGCGCAGGAGCCGACCTCATGGCCCGAGCACCAGACGCCGCCTGTGCTTGGCTGGCACAAGGGTCAGCAGGTCATTGGTCGGTGGCAGAGGGCCGCAGGCCTGGACAGGAGATGGAGGCTGCGGCTTCACTCGCACCTGCTGGCACCCTCTGGAAGCAGGCCCTGAGGGCGGGCGGGCCGCGTCCCCTCCCTCGCCCTCACCCCTGGCCTCCAGACAGCTGGGTCCTCCCCCACCCCGCTGCCCAGTACCATGCCTGCCCCCGCCCCCCACGACGCCCAGCCCCTCCCCTGGCCCCCACGCCGGCCCACCTTGATGCCGGCGTTGCGCAGCATCTCCAGCGTGGGCCTCACGTCTGCCTGCAGCTGGTCCTCCACGCCCGTCAGGCACAGCAGCTCCATCTCCCTCTCCAGGCTCTCCACCACTGCGGCCACCTTGATGGCCCTGTCGTGGAGGCTCAGCTTGGCCTGGCTGTACCGGCTCTGCGGACAGAGATGACGGCTGAGGGCCTGGCTCTGGCGCTACTCCCGGGCAAGAAGCCTGGGGATGCACCGGCTGGTCAGCGGGCACTTGGCCGCGGGGAGGGGTGCGCCCACCTCAAAGTCCTGGTACTGCTCCTCCGTGAGTGCCCTCTTGGCTACTACCAGGGTGCGCAGGCCTTCGCGGGCCATGTTCCCACACTGGAAAGGAGAGGCCAGTCACTAGCTGCCCTGCCGACCACCAGCCTAGCCGCGCCGCCCTCGGGGCTGGGACTGATGCTGTCAGGAGTCACCCCCACCTGCCCGTTGGCATGGCTGTGCACAGCCCTGCGGCAGCCCCACCGGCTCAGGTTGGGGAGCTGCCTCCCCAACGCAACCCCTGACCACAGAGCAGATGCGTGTGGCAGGCAGCTGGGGTGCGGCTCCGTGAGGACCCCAGAGGGCAGGCAGCACAGGTGGCAGCGGGCAGGCACTGACAGGCCTCCCTCTGCCGCCACTGGCCTTGCAGGTGGCAAAGTGCAACGCGTCCGTGGGCTCACTATGCCGAAGCACCGGGCTCCCGCATGGACAGCCTGTGCCGGGGCTGTGCAGTAAGTCAGAGCTGCGCCAGGCTGGGGGTGGGGTGGGCGCCGCAGGGGCAGGCCCCGCCCAGGGGCAGCCGGGAGCACCCGCCAAGGCCATGCTCCACACCATTGCAGACACGACACAGGGAGGCGCGGCCCGACCGAGGAAAATCAAAACCCAGCGAGTGGGGGGTGCAGCACCAGCGCCCCCTCACGGGCCGGGCGGGTGCTGGCAGTCAGAAGAAAGGACGCCGGCCCCGGGGGGCAGCGGCGCTTCTGGGGGGCTCCTCTGGGCGCGCCCGCTCTGCTCAGGCCCGGCCGCAGGCCCGCGGCAGCTGCGAGTCAGCAGACGATCCAGGTTTCCCTCCAGCCCGTCGCTGGGCCCGACTCTGCGGCTAAACTCCAAGGCCAAAGGCGGCAGAAACAGCGGCGAGCGCTGGCGGCGGCTCCCGCACCCTGGTGCTGTGTCCTGGGTCTCGCTGGGGACCAAGGGCCGCCTGCGCCGGAGCTGGGAGGTGGGCGGCCGCGCCTCGCTGGCAGGGGCCCCCGCCCGGGCGCACCCGCAGGCCAGGCTGCCGCCCTCCATGGAGAGCGAAGCGTGGGAGCTGCTTCACGCTTGCAGGACACAAGTTCACAGCCCAGAACCCACTGGAAACAGGAGCTGCTGCAGCCACGGTGCCCACGCGGGCCGGCTCCCCACCCCCGGGCGCCCACGCGGGCCGGCTCCCCACCCCGGGCGCCCACGCGGCCCGGCTCCCCACCCCCGGGCGCCCCCGCGGCCCGGCTCCCCACCCCCGGGCGCCCCCGCGGGCCGGCTCCCCACCCCCGGGCGCCCACGCGGGCCGGCTCCCCACCCCCGGGCGCCCCCGCGGGCCGGCTCCCCACCCCCGGGCGCCCACGCGGGCCGGCTCCCCACCCCGGGCGCCCACGCGGCCCGGCTCCCCACCCCCGGGCGCCCACGCGGCCCGGCTCCCCACCCCCGGGCGCCCCCGCGGGCCGGCTCCCCACCCCCGGCGCCCCCGCGGGCCGGCTCCCCACCCCCGGGCGCCCCCGCGAGGAGCCCGCGCCCGGGGCCGCCGCGGCCGAGCTGGGGACGCTCTGGCTCCGGCACCGGCTGCTGCCGGGAGACACTTATTGATTTGACGTCATAAAGCTAAATGAATTAGACGAGTATTTACGGTGAATCGCACGTCCTGACGACCGAAAGTGACTTTCACGGCCTCTCGCTGGGCCGCAGGGGGCTCGAGCCACTCCCGCGCCTGCCGAGGCCCGAGGGCCTGGGCGCCCCCCCCGCCCCGCGCCCCGCGCCCCCGCGCCCCCCGCGCCCCGCGCACCTCCTCCTCCAGCCAGTCGCTGTACTGCACGAGGGGGGCCACGGCGGCGTCCGCGCCCTTCACGTACAGCGCGATCTCCCCGCTGGCCTCGTCCTGCGGGCGGCGGGCGGCGGGCGGTGAGGCGCGGGGCGCGGCCGTCCCGGGAGCCGGGCGAGGGGCCGGGGCGGGGCCGGAGGGCGGGGCCGGGGCGTGGGGCGGGGCCTCTGGCAGGGGTGCGGCCTGGGGCGTGGCCCGGAACAGGGGCGTGGCCGGGGCTGGGGCGGGGCCGGGGCTGGGGCGGGGCCTCAGATAGGGGTGCGGCCGGGGCAGGGGCGGGGCCTGGAACAAGGGCGTGGCCGGGGCAGGGGCGTGGCCTCAGGCAAGGGAGTGGCCGGGGCAGGGGCGGGGCCGGGCCGGGGCGGGGCCTGGGCGGGGGTGGGGGCGGGGTGTGGGGCGCGGCGCGGAGCCGGGGCGGGCGGGGCGCGCGTACCCGCACGATCACCCCCATGCGCTTGCTCTCGGACGTGAAGGGGAACAGCTGCAGCACGCAGTAGGTCAGGATCTGGCCGCCGGGCGTCCTCAGCTGCATGGACGTGAGGTCGCGGCGCACCAGGGTGAGGCCCACGCTCTCCGTCCAGCGCACCAGGGCCACCTGCGGGCCGCAGCCAGGTCGGCGGGGTCGGCCCGGCCCCCGCCGCGGGGCGCCCCCCCAGCCCCGGGCGGCCCCCCCGCCCCGAACCCCCCCCCGCCCCCGGGCGGGCCCCCCCCCCGCCCCCCCGCGGGAACAGGCTGGCGCCCCGGGGACGCGCGGCGCCGGCTCAGCTCAGACAGGCAGAGGCGGCGCGTGTGATCACGCGACTGAGACACGCGCACCGTAAGCACGACTTTTAGAGTAAAAAAATCGATGAATAGTATTTACGATAATTACATTTTCTAAAAAATACATAAAGCAATAAACTGCCTGCCAGCGGCCGCGGCGGCTCCCGCGCCCCTGCACAATGCAGCCCCGGCCGGGCTGGGGCCAGGCCTCTCCCACCTGCCTGGCCGCGGGGTCTGCTGGAAGCTCCGGGCGCTGCCGGGGGGCTCTCAGCAGCCCCCAGGAAACACCCCACCCTGGCACTGGCTGCACCCAAGAACAGACGAGACCCAGGCCCCTCCCCCGCAGACACAGCCGCCCCACCCCAGACCCCGGCCTGGCCCCAGCGGGTCATCGCTGGACAGAGCTGCTTCGTGGCGGGAGCCCCCCCACCCCGGGCCGATCCCGAGCACCGCTGGCCCTGGGCGGGAGGCTCCTGCGGGCGCTTGGTGAAGGGCGAGGCTGGCGCGCCCTCCCTCGGGCTGCACAGGGTGCCGCGCCCAGGGGCACACGCGCTCCGGCCCTGGGGGTGGGAGGTGGCCTCGCTCACGCGATGCCTGCTGGGTGTGCGCCCGGCCACGAGCCCAGGTGTCGGGCTGCGCTCACAGAGGGCTTGTGGGGGCAGCAGCAGATGAAGCCCACACTGCTGGCTGGCCGGCCAGTCCAGGCGCGCCAGCAGGACGCTGCTGCGGAAACCCTGGAATTTGCCCCCACGCGCCGGCTTAGCCGACGCCGGGCCCCTTTCTGCGGGAGCCGAGGGCGTGAGCCGACTCTGGCTTCCCGGGCTGACTGTCTCCCCAGGGCCTCGTGCCCATCGCGGCAGCCACACGAGCGGGCCTCCTGCGCTGTCCAGAAACTGCGGGCCGGCGAGTTGCCCGTTCTCTTAGGAGTTAGTGGAGGACACGGGCCAGCAAAGGTGCCTGAAGGCAGTCGTGGGCAGAGCTGCGGGCGGAGCCGGCTCTGCTGCTGGCGCCCAGCTGTGGCTGCGGCCAGCGGGCACATGGGCAACGGCCCGGCCCCTGCAGGAGGGGGAGGCGTCTGCCAGTCTCCACGCCCCACCTGCAGCGCGAGCCGGCTGTCCCCCGGGCTCTGCCTGACGAGCCAGAGGGAGCGCGCGCCTCTCTTCAGACGCCAGGTCGGGCTGGGGCCCGAGGAGGCACTCCTTAGGGCCAGTCACGGGAGGCGCCTGCTGCGCCAGGCCTGGCCTGAGTTTCTGCAGTTAATGGGGACCTCAGCGGCGGCGGCGCCCGGGGCCAGGCTGGGGAGGCGGCTCCCGAGCTCACCCGCGAGTTACCCGCCACGGACCAGAGACGGCGGGTCGGAGCCAAGTGCTGCCGAGTTCCAAAATTAAAAAAAATCTTTATAAATCCTAAGTGTCTTTTTAAGCAGGTACGTGGAATCTAACTCTGGCCTCAGTCACCAGAACTTCGCAGGTAAACCTGGCAACCCCTGGGTACGGGAACAGGAGACGTGGCGGCCCCTGCATCCCAGCCGGCGCGCCCTCCCCACCCCCCACCCCCTCCCACCGGGCGCCCCTGGGGCCGCTCACCTCGTCGGGGCTGGAGGCCTGGTAGGTGCGGTTCTCGTCGCTGAAGTCCTGGTCCGCCTCCGCGCGCTCCGCCTCCCCGGCGCCGCCGGCCTGGGCCTCGTACACCGGGGTGACGTTGTGGCACAGCGCGATGGCCTTCACCGCCTCCTGCACGCGGCTGCTGACGCTCTTCCTGACTCTGGGAGCCGAGGACGCGGCCTTCCTCGGGGGCGTGGGGCCGGCGCTGCTCCCGCCGGCCGGGGCCTGCGCCTGAACACAGGACGCACCCTCTCAGCAGGCGCTCGGGACACTGGACGCGCCCCCTGGGCAGGCGCCGGGTGCCCCCTCGCAAGTCTTGGGCTGGCGGCCAGCGCAGGAGTGCAGCTGGGCTCTGGTGACGCCTTCGTGGACGAAGGGCCGGCCTGACCCCCACCGTCCTGGGTCCCGGAGCCCGGCCCGGCCTCAGCCGCGGTTCACTGTGACCTCTGCGGAGTGGAGGGCGGCGAGGAGGCGCACACCCCTGCATCGCTTTTCCCGAGATGCGCTGGATCCGACCGTGGGAAGCTGAGCCCCGAGAAGCGTTCAGGATTGTTCGTGCCACAGTCCCTCCCGGGGCAGGGCCGGCAGGCCAGGGGCCGCCGTGGCGCCAGGAGGAAGCCGGCCGGCCGGCGCTCGGGACGCTTCCGCTGCTGTGGCACTGCGCCCGGCTCCGACCCCAGCGGGCGCCCAGCGTCCCTCTCCACAGCCCCGCAGCGCCACCTCCCTGCACTGCCCAGTGAGCCGCAATCACGGCCTGCTCCGCGTGGCTGCGGGCCCGCTTGTGGCTGAGTCTGAGGTGGGGCCTGGACGTCAGGAGGGTCCAGGCCTCGCTGTCCAGGGGGCCCGGGAAGGGCCATACCCGCGAGGCTTGGGCGCTTAGGAAAGCAAGAACCCTGTGGCCGCCGCAGCTGCCCAAGGCCCCGGGACAGGAGGAGGTTGGGTCACGTCCAAAAAGATGGACGGAGCCTCGTTTCGCACACGGCAAACGCTCCAGGCACAGCAGGCGCCGTGTGAGCCTCACTTCAGAGCAGTCTGGTGAGAGAACTGGGGGGGTGCTGCCCACGGTCGGGGGCTCCTAAGGCGGGCAGTGCCACCTGGGCCAGGGGACAGGGCGACGCCTGTGCCCAGCCCTGGCTGGCGCGAGGAAGGCCTGGCGAGTGGCTTGTGCCGTGTGACGGCCCCAAGATGTTGCTCGCGTGAGCCTGGGGCTGGGGCCTGGCGTGGCCAGCTCACCTGTGCGCAGGAGTGTAGGATGTGGCTCTGGATCTCGTCCATGGTGTCCGCACCGTAGGACACGGTGCCCAGGTGCAGCCGCTTGAACACCATCTCGTTCCGGGTGAGGGTGCCTGCGGGGGACAGTGTGTGAGGGGCCAGCGCGGGCTGCCCAGGCTCGCCTAGCTCTGGCTCTCGGCGTGGCCGGTCCAGCACTCAGCGTCTGCTGGCCTCTGGGCTCTGCGCCAGCCTCTGGGCCCACTGGGATCCACGCCGGCCTGGTGTTCTGGAACAAGCCCCACTAGCCAGGACAGGGACTCCACCTGCCAGGCCTCTGCTCTGCCTTTGGTGAGCTGGGCGCCCCTGGAGGGCCTCATCCCGGAGCGCCCTCTGGTGTGCTGCCCTCCGGGATGGCCCGCCCTCTCCCACGCCCAGGAGCGCGCGTAAAAGCACTTTCCTGACAGGCCCAGGCCCCGTGTACCGAGCTCATGCGTGGAGTCTCCCGGTCACAGGCCCTGAGCTGTGCCAGCCGCTTCCAGGTACACACGGCCCCGGCCCCAGCACCCCCTGTGTCTCCTGGGCCCCAAGCGCCGTGGCCGCGGGCTCAGCTGTCCCCCTGGCTGGTCTTGGAGACGGGCTGCGGAGAGACGCGCTCGCGGCTCCTTCCTGAGCAGCTCCGCGTGAATCGCAGAAGGAAGCCTTGTGGGAGGAGGAGACTTTCTAGGAACTGTACTTCGGGCTGGAGTCAGGAGGCTCTTGGCTGCCCCGTGGCAGCTGGGATTCTGCGCCCGTCACGCACACCCGGGGCCCGACCTCCTCCAGCGACGCCGCCCCGGCCACGACTCCCGGGCGTCGTCCTGCTGGCGAAGGCTGCGGCCCGGCTGACTCGGGCGCGGGCCCATCCCGCTCCGCTTCCGTCGTCACCGACTGCTGTTCTTACGGTCAAGGGCGTCTTCCTCCAGTACTTTGCTTTCTGAAGCCGTTCCCGAGCGGGCCACTCGTGCCGCCAGGTTTGGGGTATTCTCCCTGCACTGGACCCTGAGGGGAGCTGCCTGGCCGGGGCGGTCCCGCGCTCGGCGCACGTCCTGCCATTACCGCCGTCCCCCACGTCTGGAGAGCCCTGGCAGCTGCTCTCAGGCCCACACGCTGCCTGAAAGCACAGTCTCGTCTCCCCGGCGCCGGGTCCTATGCTCCCCCGCCGCGAGGCGCGAGTGGGTTTCTGGACGCCGGCACAGGCGGTCCTCAGTAGGGCCAGGACCTCTGTGCTGACCGCGAGGTCACAACTGCCATATTGAGTTCAAAGCTGCACGTGTGGGCAGGTGTTGCCCGCCTGGCGCATCAGCGACGCAGAGAAGCTGCGATTTCCTCCCGTGACAGCAGCCGTGCCCCGCAGCCGGCGGCGTCCCCTCTGCAGGGAGCGGCCGCCAGGGCGGGAATGTGCAGATCGCTGTCCGCCTGGTGCTGCCCGCCGCGCGCTGCCTGCCTCACGCTGTCCGCCTGGTGCTGCCCGCCTGCTCCTGTTCTGTCTCCCTCCCTCCCTCCTTTGACTCCCCACCTCAACACCCCAGCCCGTCAGCTGTCACGCAGGCGCACCTGTCTCTGCCCCCCACTGTCTCTGCCCCCGCTTCTTGCGACAGTGTCACCGTGGGTTTCCCTCGAAACGCTACAGGGGGTGATCTCATCCCTCGTCTCTGTGCGGACAGACAGGAGGTGTCTTCCTGGCCGCCCCCAGGCACCATCGGCTCCTGCTGGCGGCCGTGTCATCGTCCATCCCGCAGGTGCCCCGTCCTGGCCAGGGGAGGGACGCTGCCCCGACTGGAGAGGCCAAAAGTCACTGCCGGCAGCCTCCCGCCAACAGTCTGGCCAGCGGGCAGCTTGGGCCCGGCCCACGGTCTCGGCGGCCACAGGCGTGCGGAGGAGGAGGACGCGTGTCAGGGAGCGCGGGGCTTCCAAGGCCCAAGCCCCGACGTCCTGCAGCCGGGACCTCTGTGGTTGGGATTTCGCTTTACTCACTTTATCTTTTTGTTGCTCTTTTAATTCACACGTCTGGAGTTTAATATCCCAGTTGTTGCTGGTGTAAAGAAATGCGACTCAGCTGTGACAGCGAGTCTCCACGTGTGACGACGCTAGCGGTTCTGGACTCTCCGGGGGCTCCGTGGGGTCTCTGAGCAGCCACGTGCCCCTCCGGCACGTGCTGCGGGGCCGTCGTGTTCCCTGGTGTGGGCGGCGGGGGCGGCTGGTTCCCGGGGGCCGGGGACTTCCCGCCTCACGGCAGTGCCGCCAGAGCCGCTCTGCTTGGTCTCCCCCCGCTGCTCCGGCTGCAGCGGCCCCTTGGGACTCGCGCGGAGTCTGGCATCCTCGCCCTGGCTTCTCCATCAAGCTAATCCAGCTCTTCCCAGAAAAGCTCGTGGAATGAGACAAGGACACCGAGACTGAGCCTGGAGCCAGGAGGGGCTGGGAGCGGGCAGCGGGCCTCCTGTCCGGGCAGCGGGCCTGTGCCCCCAGACCAGGGCGTCCTCGCTCCTGGCCCAGGTGGGGTGGTTCTCCTGACAGCTCTGGGGACGCTGCCCGCACGCCCAGTGTTCTGCTCCCGGGGCGCCTCCGCCCCGTCGGGACCTGCCTCCCAGCATGCCCTCCCCCGCCGGTCAGCACAGGCCTTTCTGACCTGGGCTGACTCACGCAGCAGCGGGCTGGGCAGCACTGAGAGGCCCTGTGCAGACCCGGCCTCTAGCACCCAGCCAGGGAAGGCCCCAGGGTCTCGGCTGCTCTCTGGAACTGCCTGCTGCCCGGGCCTCACCTCCTGCGGTCACCTCTCACCCCCAGGGACGCCCACCAGCGGTGCCAGCGGTGAGCGGGAGCATGACCAGGAGCACACCCCGGGCGGGGGGGGGGGCGGCAGGGCCTTGGCCTGCTCCCCGTTTACTCCAGCCTCGGTGGGCCGCTGCATCCTCTGCTGTGTCTCCCTCCAGACCTCAGTGCTCACGTCCACCTGGCGCTGCCAAAGCCCCGCGACAGCGGGGGGAGGCCGTGAGGGCCACTTGCCGCCGGCTGGCTGTCAGCAGCTGTCTTCCCGGGCCAGCTGTTACGTCTGCGGACACGTGGCCTGTTTGTCTCACGTCCCCTGCTGCTCCTGCTGTTCGGCGGGCGGCGGGGTCCGTGAAAACCGCCCCAGGGAAGAAAGCCAAGCCCAGCGCCACGAGCACCCTCTTCTGGGTGTGGCGGGGTTTTCCCACATTCCATTAAAAATACCCTGGTGGCGCAGCGGTTGAGCGCTGGGCTGCGGAGCTGCCCGCAGCCTCTGCTGCGCCGGTTCGATCCCCGGCTGCCGGCGAGGGTCCCACATGGCACGCAGACCTCTCCTGCCGCCCGCTGCTCCCCTCAGCAGTGTGCTTCGGTCCTTCTGCCTGCTCTGCTCCCCGCTCTGGCTCTGGTGGATTCTCTCACCCTCCCGCGCTTCTCACTGTGCCCAGTGCTTGTGTAAATAAATAAATAAATCTTTAAAAAAAAAAAAAAAAAATAACATCGACTTTTACTTGTCGCATTTTGCTCATGTCAGAGAAACGATAAATCTAATTCACTAAAAATTACTAGGAATATAATAAAAGGAGTCAGTCAAGAAAAAGATTCCAGGCCCCAGACGGGCTGTAACTGCACCCCGGGTCCCGCCCTTCCACGACGAGGCTGTGCCGGGCAGGAGCTCTGCGGCCGAGGAAAGGAAGAAGGCGCGGGCTGCACCCCTCCCGCCAGCGTCTTCACTGCGGCTGTGGCTAAGGGCTCACAAGCCCCTCCACGCGCGGGTCGGCTGCTCTGCCCCCGCAGGGCCACTGGGTGTCGGGCTGAAAGGGGGTCAGGAGGCCGTGGCGGGGTCTGCGAGGCGGCGCCCCTGCCCGGGGCGGGGCGGTACCTGTCTTGTCGGTCAGCAGGTAGACCAGGCGGCCCAGCTCCTCGGGGATGGTGCTGGTGCGCACGACCGTGCCCGGGATGGCCCCGTCTCTCATGATCATCCAGCCGTAGGCCGCTTTGCCCATGTCCAGGTTCACGCGCAAGCTGCGACAGAACAGCACGCGTGAGGACACAGCACGCGCCCACGCGCGTCACCTGCCCATGAAGCAGGCCGTGCTGACGTCACCCTGGGAGATGTGGCCGGGGCGGGCCGAGCCGCGCCTCAGGGTTCTGCGGGGCGGGGGGCGGCAGCCGGGCCTGGCAGGGGGCCGGGGCTAATGCTCAGCGCGTCCGGGGCCCGGGACCACACTGACGGGCGGCAGGCGGGCGCTGCAGCCAGGGCCTGTCCCGGAGAGGCCGCCCCGTCTCGCCCCGGGCCGGCAGGACACACACCAGGGGCGGGATGAGGTCGGGGCGGGACCGGGAGCAGCTGCACCCCCAGCTGTGTGAACTGGGGTGTCCTTGAAGAACTGGGTAGCGACAAATTCTTTCGGAAAAACCTGTTTTCAGACAAGGCGAGGCTGAGTCAGGAGGGGCGGGAGGAGCCTGCAGCCTGGAGCCGCACGACGCACGGATGACGCGTCCTCACGAGGGCCCAGGGCCCCACAGCCCAGCCTTGCGGCAGCCCGGGACCCCACCAGGACGTGCGCCGTGACCCAGCGAGTCCCTGGCCAGCCGGGGGTGGTGGGGGTGCCCTGGGAGGGCTGGGCTGCAGCAGGAGGCCGCGTGCCCACGGCCAAGGTCACGCACCCCCAGAGCCCAGGCCCTGCGGCTGTCCCCTCGCCCACACCCCAGCACCTTCGTGCGTGACACGTTTCTCTGGGACTCAACTTTCCAGATTGTTTCTCCCCAATTTTGCACATAAGGAGCCCAAACGCCATCACGCCACAGAGGCGCCTCCTTGTCTGAACCCGCCCGCCTCCCGAGGGCTGCCCGGAGTCCGCGGAAGAAGGGTCCCCTGGGTGAAGACCCAGCGGCGACAGGCAAGAAGCGTGGGCGCCTGGTGGCCTCGAGCACCCGGGGCCGCAGGAGCAGCAGTTCCGGAGAGACGGGAGCTGGGGTCCCCTGGGACGGGGACAGAGGGGCAGACCCCCTGGGGTGCGGTGGGCAGTGGGGGCAAGGTGCTGCGGGCCACGCTGTGTCCCCACCAAGCAGCAGGATGGCGATTTGCTCTATTGTTAAAAATCCTAGATTTCAGACACTAAGCTGACAAACTAGCCCTATATTTAAGTTACTTTCTAGCAATGTTGGACTTTTACAGAATTCTAAAACCCAGACGCTATTCAACCCGTGAGGAACTTCATAGGAACTGAGATCTGTGAAGGAAGACACGGGCCCGAGGCCACGGGCCCAAGGATCACGGGGCGCTGAGAAAAGGCCTGGCACCCGCTGTCACGGAGCCCCAAAAGGCTCTCCAGGCCGTGGGGAGTGGGACCGGCCTGCAGCTGCACAAGCAAAGTGGGCCAGGCCCAGCTGGCCGGCGGGCGGTGCCGGAGCCGGAACCAAGGACCGGGGCTGCCTGTGCTGTGGCCATGGGGCCGGCCGAGGCCAGGGGTGTCTTAGGCTCCTTCTCCATGATGCCTCAGCCTGCACGCTGTCTGGGGGGCCCGCCCTGCGCACTGTCGGGGGGCCACCCTGTGCATAGTCTTGGGGGCCTGGCCTGCACACATCCAACCCCAGGTGCGCACCACGCTGCCTGTGACACCAGGACTCTGATTTTTCTGGATTAAAGCTGCAGCTTTGGTGGGCCTCCCCTAGTGGCGCAGCAGTTGAGCACTGGGCTGCGAAGCTGCCCGCAGCCTCTGAAGCGCCGGGTCCATCCCTGGCCGCCGGCGAGGGTCCCACATGGCGCGCAGACCTCTCCTGCCGCCCGCTGCTCCCCTCAGCAGTGTATTTCTTCATCAGTCTGCCTGCTCTGCTCCCCGCTCTGGCTCTGGTGAATTCTCTCACCCTCCTGCGCTTCTGACTGTACCCAGTGCTTGTATAAATAAATAAATAAATCTTAAGAAAAAAAAAAAAAAGCTGCAGCTTTGCCGCCACGGTCTGGGCCAGCCCGAAGGATGGTCTCCTGGGCTGTGGGGCAGCAGCCCCGGGCTGCGGATGGCACCCAGGAAGAGGAGCGGCCAAAGACCAGGAGCTGCCAGGCCAGGCCGCTGGAAAACATCTGGGCAGCTGCTGCCGGTGCGAGGATGGCGGCCATTTAGAGCCTCAAAAGAACTGAATCCTGCAGTATTTTCCTTAAGAGACCAAGTCAACTGTAACTAATAATTCACAACATTTTATTCTGTAAAGAGAAATTTCTCCAAGACAATCTAACCTTATTAAAGCCAAAAAAAAAAAAAAAAAAAACCATTTAAAATAACAGGTCAGGTTAGCAGAGGGGGAAAAAAAAAACCAAAAACCCCAAACAGTCTTTGCTTCCCAGTCCAGGACTGTGAACTTTGCAAAACTAAAAGAAGTATTTTAAGAGCCTACCCTTTATGCAATTCAAAATCATATTCAGCAAATGCTGAAAGGCCCTGATGCCCACATTTCATGGAAACCGCGCAAGGGAAAACAAGCTTGTGTGACAGCACGTCACGCATGATGGTCTGGCTCAGCGGCTCCTGCTGTGTGCACCGGCAGCCCCTCCTGCGGCCCTGCTGCCGGATCCCGCCCGGCCGTCCTGGCCCCACAGTGGACAACGGGGCGCTAGGCCCTCTGCCTGCGACGTCTTTGCTCCATAAACAGCCTCTTAACGAGGGGCGCGCTCGGGCAGAAGTCTCCGTGCGCGCCTGAAAGCTGTTCAGCATTTACCAACAGCTGGTGAGACTACAGAAGTGCTTTGTGCGCATGAGGTATCTTCCAATTTATTTATATATAATTGAAATAAAAATAAAAATTAGTTTCAGCTTAAAGTTCTCATAACTTTCACCTTCCTAACTGTAATACTTTCCCCCGTTAATGTGCAAAAGCAAAGCTCGTCGTGTCTCTTAGCTGTTACCAGAGAACGAGAGCGCGCGGAGGGAGGAGACACTCGGGCACACCTGGGGCGTGAGCTCCCGCCACGGCTGGAGAGAGCCCCAGGGAGAGCGGCCCAGCCCAGGCTCGCGCGGGCCCCGGGGCGGCGCCGGCACCGCAGCGTCCAGGCTGCTGGACCCCACTCCTGGTTGTGAGGGGCGTCCTCTGACCCCCTGCGCCTGTGCGGGTTCTGCTTCATTTCTCGCTCACATGGAAACTCCAGTCACGTACCCCGGGGAGACCTGTAAGCATACCCTCTGCGGAAGGCTCTAGCAAGGGCTCAGGTGTTTGCTCCACATGCGTCTTCCCTGAAACAGCCCTCGTGGTCAGCGTGCATCCGCCTCGGGTTCCACGGCTGCGCGCAATGGCCACCCGCTGGGTGTTTCACCCGACTCCACACGTGTGTCAGATGCGTGTTAAGACTCAGACACGTGGGTGTGAGGCCCCGCACGGGTGCGGGGGGCAGGCGTGAGGCCCACCAGCCACAGGCGGGTCCCCAGAGCCCGCTGCCTCCCGGCAGACATGGCCGCTGGCTGAGGAAGGAAGCGCCTCCTGTGTCCTCACAGAGCCTCTGACCAGAGCTCCCCACCGAGGGTTCTCAGGCTGCCAGGGCCGCTCCCGCTCCGCGGGCACTGCTCTCCTTCCCTCCGCGGGCCCCCCCAGCTGGGCTTCTCACGGCGGGAGGCCAGGGCAAAGCCAACGCTGGAAGGGACCCTGCCTGGGGTCGCCGAGGGCCTGCGACCTACCTTATGGGGATGATGTAGGAGAAGAGGAGGAGGAACCGGAATAGGTTGCGGTACCAGGGCCCCACGAAGCCTTGCAAGGTCACCATCACGGCCGACAGAGCCACGAGCGCCAGAAACAGCGCTTTGGTCAGCTGGTTGAGCTCGAGGTCCAGCAGCCCCACCTGGAAGGAGGAGGCGAGGCTGAGGCAGAGCACCGGCCGGGTGCGAGTGTACAAGTGCACGCGCGCGCGCCAGGGCCGCTGGGCAGGGAGTCCCCCCGGGCCACCAGGACAGGGCAGGATGCGCGACCTGGCTCCCTGGCTCCCGAGAAGCGTCCTGGAGACTGGGCGGCGCTGTGGACCGCGAGTCCAAGGCGCCCAGGGGCCTCCTCTGGCCCACGCAGGCAGCTCCCAGGCCAGGGCCGGGGGAGGGCGGGCAGGGGGCAGCTGGTCCTCGGCCAAGGGCCCCTCAGGGTTCGCTTCTGCTAGGAGGGCCCACCTCTGCCCCGCCCGCATGCCCCAAAAGGAGCTCCCATCTCCGGGAAGAGCCACATGAGCTGGAGCCCACAGGCGGCGTCCCCTGTACACACCCGTGGCTCCCCAGCCAGGCAGCGCTCAGTCACGCCCCGCGGCCACCAGCAAGCGCCAGCCAGCGCGGGGCGGGCGGGCTGGCGAGGATGGCGCTCCAGGGCGGGCCCTTTCGCCGCGCCGCCCGGCATCTGGGGCGCCAAGGGCTGAGCACAGGGTGCGGCTGGGCTCTGCGGAGGGCCCGAGGGCCAGGAGGGGAGGCAGCCCCGGCCAGCAAGCAGAGCCTGGTGTCTGCGCCTGCTCAGGGCTTCGGGGGCCTCAGGGAGCCGCGCGGCGCCCCTCCGCCCGGCCCCCGCCCCCCTGGCCGCGAGTCCGCCCGACCCCTCCTGAATCCGGCGCGGACTTTGAAGAGGATCGCGACGCGCGGACGCAGCGAGTGGGGCTGTGACTCCGGTTTCCAAGTCTGGGAGCCACTCGGCTCACCGATAACACGGAAAACCGGAGACTCCGGTCGACCAGAAGCTCGTCCCGCGCCCCCCGAACGGAGGGCGCGTCGGCTGCGTGGACATTCGCACCCTCTGGGGACGCCGACCGCGCAGGAGGACACGGCGCCATCGGGGCCGCTGGGGGCTGAGACGGCGCTGGCGGAGGGTTCTGGAAGCTTCCAGCAGGGCTGTCGTCCCCTGAGAAGCGGCAGCTGAAGGCCCGGCCTGATTTATCAACTCCATTTAGAAAGCGGCACAGGAGGACAAATACCTTGCAATTTCCGCCACTTCAACTACTCCATAGTTTATGCTTGAATTATTGAGAAAAATAGGTTTTTGGATTAAAATGAAGAAAAATTAAGCCAGGGAAGTAGAGCATGTTTCAAAGCCCGGGCCTCGCGCAGTGACAAAGGCGGCGAAGTTTCAGGCCTCGCTGAGGGTCAGATGAAGCCATTACTCATTCAGTCAGGGAAAAAAGACTCAATTACCTCCCCCTAAAGATGCTATCAGTGAATGCGGGGTGCATATTTTACTCTATTCATCCAAATCCCATTAAAAAGTGAAAGGAATGATTTAATCTCGCCTTCCAGAGTTGGTCTTTTTTTGTAATAAAATAAAGAATCACTGTCTCGACAAATGCACCACCGCCGGGTGTACCCGCCCCGCTGCGGCCCGCGCCCCGGAGGGGACCCCGCGGGCCGCCCTGGGGATCACGGGGCTCGATGCCTGCCCGGCAGCGGGGGCGGGCGGCAGGGCGGGCGGGGGGATGGCCTGGCGCGCGGCAGCGGGGGACCCTCGGCGCCCAGGCCCTGACCGCCGCCCCCACATTTCCCCGAGCGGCCCTTCACAGGACGCCGTGCAGTCATGTTTCATCCCGTAGAGCAGCGACAAGTTACGCTGCAACACGTACTTCTGCAAAGTCCACTTTCAGTTCCACTTTCTGCTCAGTTCTCTGAAGCGCCCCTGAAGTTTCCTCTATCATCTAAAACGCAATCCGGACTCTTCAAAGCCAACGAGCAGGAAAACCAGCTCATTATAAAGCCACCGATTCCACGAAGAAAGCGCTAAGTTGCGTCCTGACGGGAATCTGCCTTGAAAGGCCGTCCCGGGCCCGAGCGCAGCAGACACACTCTGCGCGGCCGCGGGGACTCGGCGCCCGGAGGTGTGTTGTGACTCACTTGAAGGAATGATGACTGTACAAGAAAAAGTAAATTATGTACACTAGGAAATAACCTTCAACATTTATTGTAATTTCCTATATTAGTAAAGCAAATTTTCCTCTGCTTGTCATAATATTTGCTTTATTTGAAACAAGTGTGATAACAGAATTAAACACGCCTCTGAAAATGTGGCTCTCGGAGGGGAGGCGCGGGCGCCGCGGCCGCGCAGGGCTGTTCTAGCAGAGGGAACACGGTAATTGCCTGTATAATCTAAAACGCCGCTAATGGCAGCGATCACAAATCCATTTAGCGCCTCTTTAATTTATGTACCAAGTTTTAAATAGCTAATGGTTCTCAGTAAAATAATGGTTTATTCCAACAATAAGGGGAAGCACGGCACCCCCTCTTCATCAGGGAGAGATCGGTCAGGTTTTTAATGAGCCCGCGGACGAACGGGCGCCCACCTTATCTGCGCTCACGCGGCCGATCCGTCTGCACCGAGCGCCTCCCGCCTGCCCCGGGCCCCGGGAGGCCGAGGCGGGGAGACGTCCGCTGTGGAGAAACTTCGGTCCTATCGGCAATGAACTGACTGCACAAGAAACCGGCGCCAGCACGGCCCGGGGCGTGTACTCGCGAGTATCAGGCCGGCTGCCGGCTGTGCACACTCACGCCGCCCTGTTGGGCGCGCGGCACGCAGCCGTCAGAGCGCCGCCGCCGCGTCTCTCGCAGACAGTGAGGCAGCACTTCGGTCTGTCCCGTATTTGCCCTGTAAACACAGCATCGTCGGAAAAGAGAAAACCTCCGGGCCGAGGCTGCGGGTCCCTGGAGCCAGCGGGCGCGGTGTGCAGTGGGCGCGTCGGGGCCGGGGTCAGCAGCTCCCTGCTCTGGACGGCGCGGCGCCTCCTCCTGCAGGGCCCAGACTGGGGCACAGCATCGGCGCAGGGAGCCTGCGACAGGCTCCCACGCGGCCCTTACTCGCCGCTTCCAGCAGAAGCTTCTCAAGCTCATCTGCGTCTCAACGTCCCGCCGCTGACACTGGCCCCTGCGTCTAAGCCTCGAGCACCTTCCGCCTCTGGACGGCCATGCGAGGCCACCGTGTCCCCCCTCTGCGGCTGGTCTCTGTGCTCAGCGGGATGGCGCCTGTGTGGGGCCGTCGTGTCTCACCTGGGGACCTGGGGGGCAAGGGGGCTTCTCTCCGTCCTTCCAGAGCCCTGCGCCCACCTTCCCGTTACAGCGTGTCACCTTAACCTTTACGCCCGAACCCGCGGGACACCAGGGCCGTCCTGAAGTCTGGAGGAGTAGCCCCCGGCCCACATCGAGCACCCAGCCCCTGCCCACACCCAGCCTCCAGGGCTCCCCGCGGGCTCCCCTGCTGGCGGCTGCTCCTGGCACCTCACACATTCAAACCAACGCGTGGTCAGCTTGTGTCCAGCAGAGAAGCAGTGGCCCAGAGCCTCCTCCGGGGCAAGCTGGTCACCTGCGCACCCACCGCCGCTGGGCTGGGCTGGGCTGGGCTGGCCCGGCTGGAGCCACGCGTGCTGGCCGGTGGCTAGGTCAGCTGGGCCAGTGGCCAGAGCCGCCGCCACACACACGTGACATGCGTGACCGGGAGTGCGGGCTGGGCTGCACCCGGGCGGTGGCGTCACAGGAGGTTCAGGACTGGCTGCAGCACTTCCTGCCAAGGCCGTCCCTCCACAGCCAGGCGTGACGTCTAAACGCCAGAAAACTGCACACTGCCGGGCGTGCACACATGCATGCTCACATGCACACGCACCTGAGAGTGCACGGAGACTTGGGGGCAGCTGGGAGGGGCAGTGACTGCCCACCCTGTCACCCCAGGGGCTCACTGCGGCCACCTGGCACGGAGCGCACAGCAGCCAGGGCTCGAGAGGGGCGCCCCGTGCAAAGCTACTGGGAAACACGCGTGGCGCTCCACGCACACAAATGAAAACCCAGCCCGGACAGTCCCAAGCCCGGCACATCCTGGCGCTCAGGGTCTCCGATCGATCTGCGTCCACACAGCTCCCTGCCGGCAGGAGACCAAGTTGCACAGCCGGGGCGCACCCACCCCCCCCCCCCCCCCCCCAGCCCCGCGGCTCGGGCCGCAGCTCCAGCAGCTCCCGCGCGTGGCCAGCAGAGGGCGCCCGAGCTTGCCGCTTCGCCCCAGTCTGGCAGTTTCTGGGGACGCAGGGCCCGCGCCGGGCTGTGCCCTTGGACAAAGGAGCATCCTCTGCTTGCTCGTCCCGCGGAGCCCCAGGCGCCCTCCAGACTCTCCCCGCTTGATTAAAGGAGAGATTTCCCGGTTGAAACTCTACACTCTTTTAAGGAATTAAAAAATATGACATGGACACAGTCAGGCAGCAGCACAGCCCGAGCCCCGGAGGGCCCAAGCACCGCGCCCGCTCGCTCGCCCGCTCCTGTCCACCGGCACGGGCGGCTGTCCGTCCCGGGCGGCCACCGCCAGCCTAAAGTGACTGCCCGCCCCCGAAGCTCTCCGCTGACCCCAGAAACCCCAACCTCACTCACATATGGATTTGGGGGAGGGCATCTGGGCCTCGCTTTGAGCCAATTAAGCGGGGGGTTTGCTTTGGTATCTGTCCCGGCAGGCACAGTCCCGCAGCCTCAGGCGGGGGACACTTGCGCCAGGGGAGCGCTTCCAAGTGCCCGGCCTCCGGGGATTCTGCCCTGGGAGCACTTCCCCAGCGGTGGCTCTAAGTGGCACTCACTGGTGGTTGACAAGAAGGGCGTTGGCGGGGAGCTTGCAAATCTGACCAGCCTCAGCGAGACTGGCCTCCCGGGCCTGCGGGGCCCTGCGCCCCGGTCCCCCGCCGGCGCAGCCCTATTTCCTCGTGGGCACGGAGGCCCCTGATTTTAAATATCTGCAGATGTGTGCATGCAAGACGCAGCGACGCCCTAAACACACACCTGGGTGTGTAGAACCATCACTGTGCAGAGTGACTGGGCGCTTCAGGGGCGGCACTAGCCCTTGGTCGGCCGCCACGCGTCCAGG